AATATCACACTGCAGATGTGAGATACCAATAGCACCTCTTGAAAACAGAATGATTTGCAATTTGGAGAAGTTCAAAGGCTTCTTCCTGAGTTTAGGACAGAGCCTTACCTAAAGATTAATCTGAACTATAAGGTAGAAAAAAAGAAGGTTACAGTCAACCCAAACCACAGTTAAAATAAAACTAGGGGAATAATGGTCCTCATTAGATTAATAAGGTCTCAAAAGTTAACGTGATAGTAAAGGAACTTTGTGTTTTATGTGTGTTTCAGAAGACAACTTGGGAAATGAATACAGAGGAGTCTAGAAAGTGGGTAGTAAGAAAAGGACGACTTCCTGAGGCTCCAAGAGCCTTAACACTCAGTGAATTCCAGGCTTCTCTTAAAACTCCCCTCCCATCTCTAAGTAATCCCATTCCTTTTACAGGCCAGCATCCACTCCCTAAATAAGATGTTTGGAAAAGGGAAGCAGCGGAAGGGCAGGTCCACACTGAATAGTGCTCCAAGATAATGGGAGTCCACCTCTTGGGACATTCGGGTAGGCAGAGGCTGTCACTGTTTTATCTCGTTAGTTTTCTCCCACATGCACTAATGTATTTTTGTTGTCCATCCATGCAATACATATTACACAACTGGTTAATCCACCTTCAAGTAATCAACATTTGATTTTGGCTGTTGGCAGCTGTTCTACACCGGCAACCAATTTCTCTTGCTCCATCCTTCACAACACTTGGATCCTGTCTCTATAGGACCCTATTACTATTTCCTTGCTGATACAAGTTCTTAGCTGGGTATCATTTATTTGCTTGCCCTAAGCCCAAGATTATTTCCCTCTTTCCATATTCAAACTTTCTATTGCTCAATGCTGACTCCATTTGTCACTAAATTTTAGTTGTAAGAAAGAAAATGGCATATGCCATTTTGGACTAATGTGTTACTTTCTAACAGAACCATAATCTTGTTTGACATATTCATTTCGGAAAGCATTAATAATACAAATGAATTCATAAAGTTTTGGGGCATTTGAAGAGGCAAATAAAAAAATGGAGGCAGTATTTAAAAATGGGCAAGAACTAAGCACTGTGTAAACAGTGCAGATCGGTCTGATTATTTCCCCCAGTTTTTATTTAGAATACACTATCAAAATAGGCAATAAGAATAGCTGCCATTTACTGAATATACACACCATATGGCAGGCACTTTACATGTATTATCTCATTTAACTCACGGGAACTAGCTGCATTTTGCAGATGAGAATTGCAGTCCAGTTAAGATTTTGTAACTTGTCGAAAAATATAGAGCTAGTAATTTGAAACATGGGACTCAAACCCAGGTCTCTGACTCCAAAGCTAGTGCTATCTGATGTCTTTTTTACTTCCTTAGTGTTCCCAAAACCTGCATGTTGATTTTTCCACAGTGAGGGTCCATAGAGGTGGCAGCAGAACAGGTACAGAAGAGGAAAGAGGTAGGTAGGGCAACCATTATTTTCAAGTCTATTGAAAAATGCTGTTTAAAAATACATGTTTTAGTTAACTATTAATTTTGAGCAATTTAGAATTTCAGGTCATACAGCTATAAAACCTCCCAAAGTTAACCAGATTCTGAAATAAGTATCAGTCTTTATATGTCAAAACAGACTATAAAAAAGTAGTATTTCCCCCTCCAAAATTATAACAGCCACAGAGATCAATTATCTTCTTGGAATAGTCACTGAGACGTGCTAGGCTTTTAGGGAAGTTTAAAAAAAAAAGTTGCCTGTCTAATGAAGCAGACTACAACATTCCTAACCAGGCTGGATTAACAGAATAGTCTCTATAAATCTAACTTCACAAATGCTGTAACTTAACACTACAATTCAAAATATTGTTGTACCTCTCCAGTAGTAGCAAATATTAATGTTGCACATGAGTCTGAAAAACTTTATTGCAATATTTTTTGAAAAAGCTCATCAGGTCCCTGGACCGGGACATAAAAGAACATCTAGATTACAAGATGTCAGGCTAGGAGGACCTTCTTAAAGGCAAGCAGACACATTTCAAAGGAAACAAACTATGATCACTGAGAAACAAACAGAAGATCTGAACATCTTGTTCACTAAGAACCCATACCCAAATCTCAGTCTTCAGAAAGAAATCGCCTCAAAGACATACATCCAACGGTACTGCAGGTTAGGTTAAAGAATGATAGTACAAAACACAAGAAAGCAAAATGCAAGCATATTCAGCAAAAGCAAGAAGCTCAACAATTCCAATTACCTGAGGGTGTAGTCAAGACCAGTCCTTCCAAGAGAAATACAGGCACAGCACCCGAATCTCCTAATGATGCCTATCCTGTAGCTCTAATGTATATAGATGATTGGACACTCTCATGCCAACTCAGCGTATGCCCCAAGGTTGAGGTCCCTACAGATGACTCCATTAGCCACAAAATAATTCACTCTGGCTGCCAAGATTTTAACCAACACTGCCTCTAACCCAATTTGAAATCCTAAGTTTGTTCTTCAAGCGTCAATTATAGTATCTTTTGGCTCTTCCAAGTAGAGAGAGACACTAAACACAAAAGGTGAAATATTGTAATGATTCTCATACAAGAGAATACTTTCCAGCAATAAGGAACATACTAGAAGTATACACAACATGGATAGATCTCAGAAACGCTGCGTGGTGTGAAAGCAAAAAGGACACAAAGGCTACCTACTGTGTAATTCATATGAATTCCTAGAGTGGTAAAAACTAACCTATCCTGTCAAAAAAATTAGTGGCTGCACGAGTGGAAAGAATTAAATAGAAGCACAAAACAAATTTAGTGGGGTGATGGAAATGTCTCAAGTCTTAATTAGGGTGGCAGTTACCTGGGTGAATAAATTCCTCAAACACATAGAACTACACATCTAGAACCTATACATTTTATTTTACATAAGTTATACCTCAACAAAAAATAAATTAAAAAAACATTATATTAAATGTGGAAAACACAGAATCAGGCTTAATTTCACCACTTTGTTAGGATATTTTTAGTTAAAAAGTGCAGTTGTCTTATTTTGCATTTCTCTTTGGCGATATCTTCATTATTGAAACTAAAATTGCTTTCTCTTTACCTAAAAAATAACTGTCACAAGATGACTAGAATCATAACAAAAGCATCATTTTAAAAGTTGATGGATACTATAAACAACTTTCACACGTAATTCCTTAAAATAAAAATACTAGTTCTACTAATTAAAAATAAAACAATTAGATATAGAGAAAGCCCTACAATGCATAAAGTATAATTTAAATTGTCTAAATTGTTACATAACATTTAATTTCAATGGAAGTCTTACTTTGTACCATGGTCCAAACTCAAGGAAAATAACATCCCTAAAGGGTACTTGGTTTTCATAAAAGTGAATGCCATCTGATCAGAAACCCCTGAAATTTACCTAAGTGCCACAAATCCAGGTTGTTCAAATAAGGTAATAGAAAACACAGATGTGAAGGTAATATTTTGTTTGTAAGGGTCTGGCTATAGTACTTCATGACAGTTTTAAACTGTACAAATTAGCAATAAGAATACCAGTTCTGCTTCAAAGTTGAACTTGGCCAAGGATACCAAAATTCTTAAGCATTTTCTTAAATCCAATGAGCTGACTTTACACTTTATGCGGTGAAATGGTCATAGCTTTTTCTAATTATATTCAAAGTACAAGAGGTCCTATTTAATTATGAGGAGGGTTAATAGCAGAAATAGAGGGAAGAAATACCTCGTTGGGGTCTGTATGGTATGTTTATGTAATGTCAAATATGGTTCATCTTTTAAGGAAACTCACAATCCAGTTGTTGGAAAACAAGTACAGAACATGTAAGAACGTCAATAGGGTTCCTTGGCCACTAAAGGGCTACAGGCTCAATATGTTAAACGAATATATATATACACACACGTATACGTATATACGTATATATACACACACACATACATATATCTCAAACAGTGTCACACAATTAGTGACACTGAAACCTAATCTCTTTCAAGGCGTTATTCTATTTAATCCACTTCAGAATACAAGTATCAAGCGCTGCGTTCAAGACACTGGGTTGTGATGGAAAGTCCTTCTATTCTTTATGGGACTTCAAACAGTTCAGAGGTGGATCGAAAAAGCCATCAAGTAGTAATTTGTTGGTTCGAAAGCACAGTACCACCCCCGGGTGACGGGTAAAGAAATAAGGAACACAAAGACTAGTCATGAGTCGGTCTTCCAGAAAGACGCTGGCCCAAGACCGTTCAGCGAATTTCTTCACACACAACCCTGGAAAATCTCCTCAATTCTGAGAGGACTAGCGAAGGATAAAACCCTGTGGCAGTCCCGAGGGGTCATTTAGCACCCGGGTGCATGGGTGGGTGAACCCGGGCGTGTGGGCGGAGAGGCAAAGCCCAGGTGCGGGGGCGCCAGCAGCGTCACTATAGTAATGAGAGACAGCTAGCGTCATCAGGGGCTGGAGAAGGGACAGTGGGCCACACAAACCTTAAGGGAGGAACACGTGGCCCGAGGAAGAGAGCCGGCTCCCAGGGAAGCCCGGAGCGGGGAAGTGGCTTTCCGGAGGGCTCGCGGCACGAGTGGGGGAGGGGTGGGTACTCACTTCGATAATCTTCTCCTTCTTTTTTTGCTCCGCCTTTTTGCTGCCCCCGGCCTGAGCCTGTTTCTTCGGGGGCATTGCGGAGACAGATGACACCGGCCAGACTTAAGCGCAGCTGAATACTGTCAGGGGTTCTGGCCCTGCGGCAGGAGGAGGAGGACGGGGACCTCACTCGCCGCACCGCACGGAAAGCGAGTCGCTCATTCGCCCCGCAAACGCGGCCTTTGCGACAGGTCGATGTCGCAGAGCATAGTGGGTAGCGAGGAGCGGCTCCCGGAAGCGGAGCTGCGCGTGCGCATCCACTGAGTCCGACAAGGAGGGGGCAGGGACGGGACGTGGGAAAATGAGTACGCGTCACACGTGAGGTCACGCATCCGATAGGCCCTTTCCAGATGGCAACAGGCCTGAGGATGAATCTGGGCGAGCTGGTTGAGTCCATGCGTTTGTGCTTCCTCTCAGTCAACTTTCGCTTACCATGGGGCAACTCTTGTCTATCGTCGCCTCAACTGGAAACTTTTCCTGCCGGCTCAGTTAATGGTCCCCTGTACCATCCCCATCCTGAGTGACTACTGAGCAGCCGCAGGGACTCGGGGTTGCTCCGTGACCACGTTACTCAGTTACCTTCTTGTTCCTTGGAGAGGCGGAGCTGAATGGCCCGTGAGTGCAGTGTACTTCAGATTCCTGTGAAGGATTATGAAAAAAATGGAAAAAGTTAACTTTCATTTGAAGAGCATCTGAGATGGCGTCCCAGATAAGGAGGCACTTGAACCCCTTAGAAGTACTGTATTAAGTTATTTTGAGACTTATTTTTTTTTATTTTTTTTTTATTTTTTTTATTTTTTATTTTAAAATAAAAAAAAGAAATATGTTTTTAAAAAGTTATAATTTATAGATGAAAGGGTAGGGCTTTAATACAGTTTTTTTTTGGTTTTTTTTTGAAGATGGTAAACCAGGAATTGAGTACTAAAGTTTAAAGAAAAATAAAAAAAAAAAAAAAAAAAAGTTATTTTGAGACTTTAGGAGAGTGCCTAGGTGATTCCTAAAAATTCCTTTATAATGTGAAAGTAACCAAACTTAGTTTGAACTTAAAGTACTTGGTAGCTCCAGAAATTGCTTGGCACGTTACACACACTATTTCATTTAGTTATCACAACGACACTTAGGTGGGAATTGTTACTGTTTTCATTTTATAGATGAAGCAGAGAAAGGAAGAAAGATACCCAAAGTTATACTAAGTACAGAGCCAGAAATTGTAATCTTGGCAGTCTAGCTTCAGCCTATATGCCTATTACCTAACATTACAAACTTAGATCCTGTTTGAAAAGGTACTTAAATGATGAATGGGACCCATTGATACTTGTACAAACCAAAATACTGGTTTTTTTTAAATGTACAATGCTTAGCTGTTATTTTTAAAAATGATTATTTTTTATTTCTGTTAAGAAGCATTGTGGGACCAAGAATCATCTTTATAGATAAAAGTTTTTTATCTTTTTCATTAATTCGAATAGGGAGAAAACGATAAGCCCCCCTACTTAGTCAAATTGATTATTTACTTAGTAATTTTCTACGGAAGATAATGTCAAGGAACCCCAAGTATGTTGTGTGTGCGTGTGTGTGTAGAAGAAATGTGATAGCTACTAAAAAGAATTGTGTCGAGAATGATAGGTGTGTGTAGACACAATGTTTTTCATTTGGGCTCCTATTGCAGGTTAATGGGTTCCCCCCTCTTTTACATATTTTCATCTTTATTTTTTGTTATTGTCATGGTTCTTGTCAGAGGATGAAGGGATGCAGCCAGCTCCCTCTTTACTTAGTATTATAATACATTTGATTATTTGGAGATCGTCTCCTTTGAGACTTTGTTTGCATATGGAATGTAGTTGTCTTAACTTCCTACTTTTAGTGCCTCAAAGATACCCTGTGGGTCTTTGATTTTGAGTAATTGTACTGATTATTATGAGGCAAATGAATTATAAGTAACAAATACGGGGAAGTTACAAAAAATCTAGAATCTCATAATGTTATGATAATGGCTCCAGTTTTCGTGATTCATAGCTTCCTCTGCCTCCTTGTGACCTTTGCTTTCGTTTTTTTCCTCTGAAGTGTGGCCCTGGTAGAGAACAAAGATCCTTTCTTGCCTCAAATGGAAAATACACATTTCTGAATATAGTACATGCTCTCATAGCACTCTCCCTCATACTTTATTTCTTCATACATTTTAGAAATAACGAAGTCCAACTCATTGAGTTCACTAGTTTTTGAAATAAGGTAAATGGTTTTTCCTGATCTCAAATAGCAAATGGAAGCAGGGCTGGGAATTTTATGTTTTCTACTGATATTTTTATTGACCTTACAATTCAAACGAAACTTTCACAAAACAGTGCTTAGAAGGCATAGTCCAAGGGTTACAATTCAAATACCCAAGAAAGCAGGGCTATAAACTTGAGCGTCAGGATGAGTGAAATACATTAGGAAGTTGTGGGAACAGTATTAAACCTGAGGTAAATAACCACCATAAAAGACCTAAAAGAAAAACTGCCAAACCTGACTGCTTTCATTTGGTGGACAGGCTGTGAATTTACTGCCTTGTGATATAGCCATTTGGATATCTTTACATCTATTGGAATGTATCAGATGTAATAGATTAAGGCAGTAGATTTTGTACTAAATAGAAATTATTGTTTGCTATCCAGCATTCTAATGTCCTTCTGTATAGGAAGGAAGCCCTTCTTACAGAAGGAAGCCCTATGCCTAGGGCTTTTAATCTCAAGAAAATGAGAAAGACTACCTTTCAAAGTGTAGGAATTTTTCAGGGCATTAGAATGCATGTATGGTATTACCAGTCCAGTGGTGGCAGGCCAGTGTGGCAAGATCCATACATGTCCTTACTTCATTCTTTGCTATTATTTCTTGCTTCTTTTGTTTTCCAAGCCTGATTTTCCAAGCTTCCTATAGATTCTGTGAGGAATATTTCCATAAACACATTTGAAGACATAGCTAGAAGGTATGTCTGCAAGCCAAGAGAGAAGCCTCAGAAGAAACCAAACCTGCTGACACCTTGATCTCAGAGTAGTAGCCCCCAAAACTATGAGAAAATAAATTTCTGTTTTTTAAGCCACCCAGTCTGTGGTACTTTGTTATTGCAGCCCCAGTAAACTAAGACAGCCTCATTAATAACAGACCAAACTATGCTATGGGTGGTAGGCAGAGACAAGACTACGAGTTTGTCTAAGTACATTTTTGTCATAAGGACAGGCCTAATTTTGCCATATAAATTGTTGATCTGTTTTATGGGTTGAGGCAGTACATATTAGGAAGTATTTTGATTTAAATAGTGAATGCTTCAAAATTCTGACAGGTAGTCAGTCTCCTTTAATACTTTTTTTCCCTCTGAATTAAGATATTACAAAAGATTTGCCAATGTTTCAGTAGAGCTTATAAAATGTCTTTTACCTTGTCAGTTTGAATTTCAATACTGTAAACTTTCACTCCAGCCTACACTGACACAAAATTTTCTTAAGTGGGTGACTTAAGTGGGTGAATTCTCTGTTTCTATTTGAAATATTTCTTGGTGCCATTATGATAATAGTTATTATGGCATTTGTCAAGAAACCAAGATGTAAGATTTCCAAATATTTTTTGCCTCATTGACACTGAAATTATTAACAATGATTTAAATCAACCATGTCATTTCCCTAGTAATAGTTTTCTAATGGCTTTTTATGTCTTTCTAAATGCAGTATAAGGGATTCCACGTCTTCCTCAGCGTATAACATCTGCTTTTTATCTTCTGTTATTTCAGTTCTTACTCCTCATTTTAGGCCAGCTTTTCCTATTCCCCACCTTCATATTCCCTCGCTAATTTTATATGCCTTAGAACTTTTCATAGTCTTATGTATGAAAATTATTTCCTTCCTACTTCACTATCCTATTTCAGGGCCCCATTTTTACTTGGACTATTGCAAGTGCCTCTTGTTTCTCTTGATCTAATTTCTTCAATGTATGGTATTACCAGTATTACATACCAGTATGTATGGTAATACATACAAAATTCTGTGAGACAGGTCTTTCCAGCAACAGATTATTCTGGAAGTCCTGGAGGGGGCCAGCAGTTGTCACTAGCAATTATAATTTCTTCACAACACATTACTCCAAAAGTAAATTTTCTAATATATGAATTTGATAGTGTCCCCTATTTTGTAACTTCTTTGAAGACCTCCCATAGACATATATATAGGTTTTAATTTGCATTGATGATTATTCTATAGCTACAATAGTTAATTTTCCTGTAATAAGCATAAACATTTTTCATACATTTATATAGTCTTAGAAGACAAAATCAAAACCCTGTAAGGAATTTTTTTTCTTCTCAGTAACTTTGTAAACTGAGACGATATTTCTTAAATATAGGTGCTTAATAAATGTTTATTTCAGTGGTTCTCAAATTATGCTCATATGAAAGAGTTCAGTAGGTTGGACTAAGATGATCGACTAAATTGAATGATGATGTATTTCTAGTTAACAGAAAAATATGCATTTTTTTCAATTTTAAGCTTTTTTCCCTCATAGTCATTCTTAAAAAATTAGTAGATTGCTAGCGTTTTTCAGCTAGCAACTTAAAAAAAAAGAAACAGTAATGGATCATATATTTCATGTGACTGAAAAACCTGTGTATTCAAAATAATGTGGGGACATTTATGTAAAATATGGTCTTATGTTACAGTCTTTTTGGTGAAATTAAGTTTATTAATATTTTTTAAATTTTCCCATATGACACTGCAAGTTCCAGGTATTTGCTACCTGAAAACATTTCAGAACTACTGTTTTAATGGATTGAATACCATCTTACCTTATAGCTGGATTTAGTGTCATTTATCCTTGAATCTTAAAACCTTTGAAGTGGGAAAGTTGTTCCTAAAAGAACTATCAAATTAGTTTCTTATTTTTTCTTATGAAAGCTAATTTTCTATTTCTTTTTTATAGCACACTGTATAAAAGGTCATGTTTTAGAGTCAAAATATGTGGGTTAAATTTCTTCCCTTCCACTTATATAAGTGACTTTAGGCAAATTGTTGGACACCTGTAAGCTTTACTCTTCTTATATATGAGGAATAATACTGTTCCTAGCTCATAGGGCTATTGGAAGGATGAAATGATACAATGCATGTAAGTCACTTATTAGAGTACTTGGGACATGTAAACACATAATTAGTGGATACTACTATATAATTCAGGTCATAGTGTAAAGAAGCAAATAATTCAGCATTGATACATTAATTTCTAAATGAGCTTACTCCAGTAAATATGGAGAATATAAAATCAAGAGATTGGGTGACTGAATGTGGGAGCTGAGGGGAAGAAGTCAGAAAGTAGAAGAGGATCCAGGTGGCAAGCATGGGCAAGTGATCAATGTGGGTGCTAGGGAGGTTACGTAGGCCATGATTGGAATGTGTGGCCAGGGCAAGAAATAACATATCTAGTTTTGGCTCTGCTGAATTTATGGTCCTAGTGGGTCATTTATGTGGCAAAATCCAACGGTATATATTTGACTTGTAAACTCAGAAGAGTTTAGAACATGGGGGCCAATGGGAATGGATTACTTTGAGAAAGATTGTAGAGAGTCAAAAAAGAATAAAAATGTGAGGAACAATGTTTAAAAGGTAAATACAGAAAAATAAGTTTAGGGAGGAAAGTGAAAAGAGGCAACTGTGGCAGGCACCCTAGGGAGAAGAAACTTTCGGGTAATAGAGTATCAACAGGGCCTGGTAATTTTGC